CATGAATTTTTATGTTTCGTCAAGAATATCACAATAACCTCATTTTATTGGCCTTGTAGCCCTGCAAATTTGCAGCAATTTTATTTTGCGGTCCAAATTAGAAACAGTCGAATACAGCAATGAAACGGATGTTTGGGTGACGTTATTTGCGCCCGTCTGCCGCTCTTTCACGCGCCCTCGTTTCATGAAAACAGGACCCGCGCCACCTCACGCCCCGCCCGCCTCTTTGCCGTTCGTCATTTACAACTTGTAATCCTCAACGTTCCTCAACGCGCTGTCCCAAACTGCCCCCTCCCCCTCGTACCGTCACACCACGGCCGTGTCGCCCGGGTCGCCTATTCACGAGGAGGCCAAAGTCTCAATTAATGGAGCGCTGCCCGTTTAAGTCGGATTAGAGGTGAAACATCCCCCCGGCCCGGTGGCAGCGGAGCCGGAAAGGGGCGTGTTCCGAGGTAGCCAAAACCAACCACCAAACGTCAACACTTTACTCCCACCGCGAATAATCGATGGAGAGAAAGAATCTCATCTGTCGAATGTGCGACAGTTCGTATCTCACCTCGAAGTAGGTGCAGGTGGCGGTACAGGTGCTCCTGGCGCCGCTCGAGCGAGAGCCGGGCCGTGGCCACAGCCCACAGACTCTCTTCGCCGGCCTCGGGGGACAGGGACCGCAGTCGCGGCTGGTGCTTCGGCGAGACCTGGAAACCAAAGAAAACAGGAATGATTAAAAACTTAATTTTATTGTTCACCGTGAAACACATCTTTGATCTTTGTAAATTAATAACATTTGCTTGTAATTTTACAATAGTTTTTGAAATTTTACGTTTTAAATGTACAACGTCAAAATAATTGCTCGGCGAAGAAAACAAAGTCGAAACGCGTGGGAGAAAAACAAGCAAATCTTATTATTCAATTCATAAAAAAATCATAAATTATAAAGAAATCATTGAAAATGTCCGGTTGACCGTTTAGAGAAGCTTGTGCTCTGTCGTCGTTTGTCTAACTGAATGGTGAAGCGGAAGAAGGGGGAAGTCTGGCGTTATAACCTTGGACTCATCCCCGTCTTCCGCCTCACCATTCCATTTGCTCTCGGGCGCCTGACGACGGGTGGGTAGGCAACGTGCTGCGCATGCCTGCGCGACGCCGAGAGATATTGCCTACCCCCTCGGCGTCGAGCTCGTCGCGGCCGCTCTGTGCAAGCGCTCACTGTACGATAAGTATTCGGACCCTCAACGGGACCTAGGTGAAAGACGAGTTTAGGTATTGGGCTGCTCGCCGACACGTCTACCGGAGTGAAGCTTCAAAGTGGATTTAAGACCTTGTCGCTATGCGGACACTTTGTATGTGGGTCGTGGCGGAGAGAACGCGTACTATTGTATTTACAACAAGGCTGTAGCACGCCATGCATTTTGTGGTGGCACTATCTGATGTGATGTGGCGTGGCCAGTATAGGACACACAGTTTAGCATGGGGAAGGAAAAATACATACACGACTTCTGTGCCTGACTCGACTGCTCGATCATAACGACACCATAAAACCACAAAGTGTCATCGATTTCACGATCATTATCTCTTGTGAGCACTTCTGAAATCTGAATCGGTAAGGATGCGCCGTTTCGTGCTGTCAAAAAATGTGTGAAGGACGGTGATTATTTTACGCGAAAATTTGTTTCAATGGTTATTCCCTACACAATCATATTAACAACCAGGTATTACTTTTTGCTGATACATATTTTTTAATCAGTTAACTGCAAAAATGACTATTTTGTCACCATTAATTTGTGGCCGACTCTGACTGGGTGGTTTGTACACTGTTAAACATTTTGTCATGATTTTACGCTGTATTTGCCCTTTTTCTTGTTAGCAACCTCGGTCGTTTATAAACAATCAGTGTCATTACATGTCAACATGTAAATGTAAAACTAACGACATCTTGGGTTGGGTGGGTGTTTTGACGAAGTAAAAGTGCATATGCATATTTATTTGAAATTTTTCCTCTGTACAGTGAAAGTATCCTGCACTCTTTAACTAGAAACTAGAATGTCAGTACTGCAGATAATATGCCACCCGTGTGCGGAACGCTTCGTGAATAATTGATTAGCCGCCATCCCCCAACTACCCCGTTCGGCCGCGGTATACACGAGGGGAGGTGTATATTCAACGTCACTGGGACGCGGGAATATAAATAGCAGTGCCGCCCAGCCCATATCACGCCAAAGGGACGGAAACAACGTTTTCCACATTTCGATCCGCATTACAGATTCTCGTCATTTAATTAATTAATCCCTTCTGACCGAGTCCGACGATTGCTCGCGGCCATAATCAGATGTGTAACTATCTGTGCCTCTTCAAGAGAAAAAGTCCGAAGCCGCAAATCGAACACAGATGTACACACATGTTGAGAGAGAGAGAGAGAGAGAGAGAGAGAGAGAGAGAGAAGAGAGAGAAAGAGGGAGAGAGAGGGAGGTGGGGGGGTGCTGGCAGTAAACCAGAGTCGACAGATGCCGTGATATCTATCTGCGAGCGTTAAAGCTGCGGCCACTTGGGACCGGTTGCAACGTTCCGTGACCCTACCACCCTCCCCGCACCCGTCTGCGACGATCATCCCCGTCCCTCCGACGAGCCACCTCTCTCGCTCGCACTTGTGTAAAGTCACAAGGGATGGAAACTCGATCCGACAGAGTCGCAAGATAGCCTCCTTTATTTAATGTTTCGATTAAGGTAACCTAATATGACAATAAGAGTAGTTTTTCAACGCCATACAGAAGTTGTTCTTTTTTCTTATACTGTTTTTATTTTTCTGTCTTTCGACTTGCGTTCGCGAAGACGTGTACTTTTTCCCTGTCCTCGGGTGGACGTGTTTCTGAGAACTGTGCTTGTTATTTGTCGTTCCGACGTGTGGAGCCGGACGAAGAGTGGCCACGGGTCATTGGGGCCGTGGCGCCTCGCTGCGCCGCACCTGGCGCCCCTACGGCCCTCTCCCTCCACACCCTCCGCCTCCACCCGTCTGCTTGCGGGTCCTTCTCCCTCTGCCTCTCTACCCAACCCCCTTTACACTACCAAACTACCCTATACTCCCACTACGAAGAGGGAAATAAAAAAGGTCCCCCTCGTCTCGCCCATTCTCACCGGTCATTTAGGTCTCCGGCGAGAGGAGTGAAAGGAGAAAAAAGATCCCTGCATGTTTTGTTTAGGGTTGTATAGGTCACATCCACGCCGATAGTTCGCCGATATGGCCAGAGCGCGAGATGTTGCGACTAGTGACGCAAAGCGGGGCGCGTGCGTTTGCGCTGTTTGTACTTAACGACCGTCGCGGCATAATGACACCTCCGGCCGGCTCGCGTGCCCGGGCGTGACATATGCCGCCCGGGCCGGGCCCGCCGCGCGGACCTCCGCCCGCCATAACGAGCCATCAATGATTCATGGCTTATCTGAACGCGATCCTCCACTCGAGACCCGCCTGCGGCACCGCGGCTCACCGGCTCATGTGTACCGTCAACCCCCCCCACC